CCCAGCCGCTCCGCGGCATGTGGGATCCTCCCAGACTGAGGCATGAACCCGTGTCCCGTGCACCGGCAGGTGGACTCTCGACCACTGCGACACCAGGGAAGCCCTACAAAGAATTTTTAAATGTAGAAACTCTCAAGCAGAACTATTTTATCTGATCCTAGAGCTCAGTAAACTAAAAATTAGAGATTGTTTTAAATTGGGAAGCATATTTGAGATCATTTACATACTTACTTAAACTCTTATTTTATAGGTGACAAAACTGCGACCAAATATTGAATAATGTGCCAGAAAGTAATTTATCATACCACAGAATAGTGCTACTCCTATCATATCATGGTAGTAATTTCTTTATTACTGCCTTAAGCCTTTAACTTTTTCTCTAGGCTTAGCCATCATCTTTATTCATGGTGAAAATTGTTAAGTTATTAGAATGTAGAGTTTTCTCATATGTATTTTATTTTAGCTTCATTTCTACTTTTTCTGTCATAATTTTTCTTCTATTCCTTTTTTTAAAATAAATTTATTTATTTATTTATTTATGGCTGTGTTGGGTCTTCATTGCTGCTCACAGGCTTTCTGTAGTTGTAGAGAGCAGGGCCTACTCTTTATTGCAGTGCGTGGGCTTCTCATTGCAGTGGCTTCTCTTGTGGAGCATGGGCTCTAGGCATGCAGGCTTCAGTAGTTGTGGCATGCAGGCTCAGTAATTGTGGTGCGTGGGCTCTAGGGCGCAGGCTCAGTAGTTGTGGCGCATGGGCTTAGTTGCTCCATGGCATGTGGGATCTTCCTGGACCAGGGATCAAACCCGTGTCCCCTGCATTGGCAGGGCAGATTCTTAACCACTGCACCACTAGGGAAGTCCTCCTTTGTTTTTTTAAGTTTTTTCCCACCAGGGAAGTCCTCCTTTGTATAATTTTTGTCTAAGGTAAAATAAGAGATGAATTTACACATTAAAACTTACTGAATAAATACTCCAGAATTAAGGTATTTATTTATTATTGATGAGCTGAGCTGACTCCATTTGGCATTATTCTTTTACCCAGTTTAATTAGTAACTTGTTTGTTCTGCAAACATACTGAAAAATAAACTTAATTGAATAGATGATTAGTGAGTATCACTGTATCACTTAGATATTAAGTTATTTCATTGCCATTTAACTATTTAGAACAGATTCTAAATGAAACTATGCATAGATTTTAAACAATGCTGTAAGTTACTTATGGAATGCTTTGGATTTTGTCAGTATTTGCTATTTGAAGACAAAATATTGATTTAAATGGTTATGATATTCTCCCCTTTTTGTTTTTATTTTAGAGAGCAGCTGCTAGTTTGGTATCCAGAGAAGAAAACAAAAATGATAATGCCGATAAAGCAGATAGAACTACAGAACCCGAGCAGTCTCATTCCAACACAAGCACTCTCACGGAGCGAGAACCTAGCTCTTCTAGTCTCTGTAGTATTGATGAAGAACATCTCACAGACATTGAAATAGTTCGCAGAGTTTTTTCTTCTAAAAGAAGTAATGTAAACTTTGTCACAGAGATATTTCGTCAGGTAAAATACCTCTCAGTATTTTTAATTTGTAATATAGACTTTAGCTTTTAATATTGAATATACTGACTTTAAGCTGTTTAAAATTTGTTCTTCATGGAAATGTTTTTTAAAGTTCATATTTAGTTTTTTGGTTTATTACATCTAATTCTTTAATATTTTCAGTTATTTATATTTTTAGTTTATGGTAACTTTAGTTTAATAATTATCCCGTCCCCTCCAGTATTCCTTCGGTTATCAGAATAATTTTCTTAGTGACTCAATTTATGGTTTGAAACTTTTCTTCCTACCATTTGATTAATAAATTATAGTAAAATTATGTTATCTTTCACTCTAAAATCAATAAAAAGTGGTTTATGAATATAAGAAGCGATGTTTTCATTGTCTTTATCCTCCCCTTGGAGGCTCAGTTTTGTCCTTTAAGCCATTCCGAAATTAAATTTCCTTAAGGCAGATATTATTTGGGGAATAAAATAAAGAAAGAGAGGGAAGGAAAACAAATAAAAGCTATTTCACATAAAGATAGCTAGAAATTCCTAAGTGCACATTCTCAATTACATAGAAATTTTATGGGAAAATAAACCTTATGAAAACCAATCATTTGCTCTTAATAGCAAAGGTACTTTTGCAGGTAAACATCATTGAGTTTTGTAGCTGAAGGGGATCATTCAAGTCTCACAGCAAGTAAGTGGTAGATCCAGGACTAAGACTCCCAGATCCTGGTTCCCATGTCAGTGCTCTTTATTCCGTGCCACATTGCCTTCACATGCCAGGGAGCTCTCCAGGCAAAGCAGATCCTCATCTCCTACATGTTTATTGATATGTAAAAGAAAGCATGAGGCAGCATTAGCTTTGTCAATATAAGTTAAAGAAACGAACTTGCTGTAGCGTTTTGTCCAGCTTTGGCAGTGATTCTTAGTTGCCAAGTTTAAGGTTTGTGTTGACAGAATATATGACAAATGTGAAAGGAAAGATATTTGACAAATATGGTTGGAATATTTGTGGGAAAATTTAAAGCTTAAAGAACTGTTCAGGTTTTCTAGTTCTTGAGTCAGCTTGAGTGTGTTCGTTTTTCTAGGAATTTGTTCATTACATTTGTTTTTAAATACATTCTCTTATAATCTTTTTAATCTCTGGGGCATTTATAGTCATGTTTCTCCTTGTCATTCCTGTTAGTATTTGTTCCTTGTTTGTTTTTTTTCTTGATGATTCTCACTAGAGATTTGTCAGTTTTATTAGTCTTTGCAAAGAATGAGCTTTTGGCTTTGTTGATCCTGTGTTTTATGTTTGTTTTCTCTTTTATTAAGTTTTGCTCCTTGTTCTTTCTTTCTGCTTTTCTTGATTTTATTTGATGGTTCTTTTCCTAGCTAATTAATTAGCCTCACATTTTTCTCATATAAGTATTTTTGAGGCTATTAATTTACCTCTTAATGCTGTTTTAGCTACAGTCTACAAACTTCCATGTATAGCATTTTTGTTATTATTCACTTCTAAAAATTTTCTAATTTTCATGTTAATATTTTCTTTGACCTATGAGTTATTTAGCAGTGTCTGTCTCCCAAACATATAAGATTTTTCTAGTTTTCTTTTTTCTTACAGATTTCTAATGTGATTCTTTTGGTCAGAGAATATAGTCTGTATATTCAGTATGTACTCAGCCTCCATAAATGTCCTGTGTGTTAGAAGAGAATGTATTCTTTCCTGTGGAATTCATGATTATTAAAGTCTGTTAGATCAAGCTTATTATTGCGTTAGTCAGCTTTTCTATATTCTTACTTAAGATTTTTGGTTAGCTTGACCTCACAGTTATGGAGAAGGGTGTGTTAAAATCTTATATTCTGATGGTGATTTGTCTATTTTTTTCTTTGTAGTTCCATAAATTTTCCTCTATGTATTTTGAAGCTTTGTAATTAAGTACATACATATTTATAATTTTATATCTTCTTGGTGAGTTAAGCCTTTTATTTATGGCCCTTTTCATCTGTAGCAATTATTTTTGCTTAAAGTCTACTTGTAGTAGTCTACTTTATCTACTTGTAGTACATTTATACTACTTTCTTTTTATTATAATTAGCCTCATGTATACATATATATATATATATATATATTTTTTTTTTTTTTGCATTCCGCGGGCCTCTCACTGTTGTGGCCTCTCCCGCCGCGAAGCACAGGCTCCGGACGCACAGGCCCCACAGCCATGGCTCACGGGCCCAGCTGCTCCACGGCACGTGGGATCCTCCCAGACCGGGGCACGAACCCGCGTTCCCTGCATCGGCAGGCGGACTCCCAACCACTGCACCACCAGGGAAGCCCTATATTTTTTTTAAATCCTTTTATTTTCAGCCCTTTTATATCATTACATTTTATATGTCTCTTGTAAATACGGTTGGATTTTTAAAAATCTTTGTCTTTTAACTGGAATATTTATTATAATTACTGATTTGTTTGGATTTGATACTATCTTATTTTGTTCTTTTTATTTTTCTCATGTCTGTATTTTTTCATAATTCTCTTATTTTTTGCTTTGTTTTTAATTGATGTTTTTTCATTCTGTATCCTCTTCCTCCCCATCACTTGGTTTGAAAGTTTTACTCTATTCCTTTTCTTTAGTGATTACTATATAAATTTTAGCTTACATACTTCACTTTCCAAATATAAAGTTAGTGTTTTTTTACCCTCTTCCTAATCAATACAAGGATCGTAGAACATTATTACCCTAATTTCTCCCCCTAACTTATATATTCTTATTACCAAATAATTCAGTTCTATTTTGCATGCTTGTATTTTAACTCCAGTAATCTTATTATTCTGTGCATTCAGTATTGATTTACATTTAGTTATATTCATCACTTCTTTTGATTATGATTTCTCCCTTTTCAGATCTTCCATTTATTGCGTTGGCCAAAAGGTTCATTTGTTTTTTTCCGTAAGATGGCTCTAGCAGCACTTAGTTGTTTTTAACTTCATTTGAAACAGTTTTGTTAGATTATATGTGACAGTTGTCATACCAGTGTGCATTTAAAAAAAAACATCAAAATTCGTGAATTTTTGTGTAGCCATTTTAATATTGAAGATAGAAGAAAAAAGAACATTTTCAGCATATTATGCTTTACTATTTCAAGAAAGGTAAAAACGCAACTGAAGTGCAAAAAAAAGATTTCTGCGGTGTTTGAAGAAGGTGCTGTGACCTATCAAACAAGTCAAAAGTGGTTTGCAGGGACTTCCCTGGTGGACCAGTGGTTAAGACTCCACGCTCCCAATTGCAGGGGGCCTGGGTTCTATCCCTGGTCAGGGAACTAGATCCCACATACCGCAACCAAGACCCCACACACCACAACTAAGACCTGGCGCAGCCAAATAAATAAATAAATATATTTTTTAAAAAGTTTGCAAAGTTTCGTGCTAGGTATTTCTCACTGGACGATGCTCCAGGGTCGGGTAGACCAGTTGAAGTTGATAGCAATCAAATCAAGACATTAATTGAGAACAATCAATGTTATACCATGTGGGAGACAGCCAGTATACTCAAAATATCCAAATCAAGCGTTGAAAATCATTTGCACCCGCTTGGTTATGTTCATTGCTTTGATGTTTAGGTTCCACATAAGTTAAGCAAAAAAAAACCTTGACTGTATTTCCGCATGTGATTCTCTACTTAAATGTAATGAAAACATTCCATTTATAAAACCAGTTGTGACGGGGGATGAAAAATGGATACTGTACAACAACGTGGAACGGAAGAGCTCGTGGGGCAAGCGAAATGAACCACCACCAACCACATCAAAGGCTGGTCTTCATCCAAAGAAGGTGATGTTGTATATATAGTGGGACTGAAAGGGAGTCCTCTATTATGAGCTCCTTCCAGAAAACCAAACGATTAATTCCAACAAGTACTGCTCCCAATTAGACCAACTGAAAGCAGCCCTCGACGAAAAGCCTCCAGAATTAGTCAATAGAAAAGGCATTATTTTCCATCAGGATAATGGAAGACCGCATGTTTCTTTGATGACCAGGAAAAAACCATTACAGCTTTGCTGGGAAGTTCTGATTCATCTGCCATATTCACCAGACACTGCACCTTCAGATTTCCATTTATTTAGGTCTTTACAAAATTTTCTTAATGGAAAAAATTTCAATTCCCTGGAGCCTGTAAAAGGCATCTGGAACAGTTCTTTGCTCAAAAAGATAAAAAGTTTTGGGTAAAAGATAAGTTTTTCAGGCAACTTCAATTATGAAGTTGCCTGAAAAATGGCAGAAGGTAGCGGAACAAAAGGATGAATACATTATTCAATAAAGTTCTTGATGAAAATGGAAAATGTGTCTTTTAGTTTTACTTTAAAAACCAAAGGCACTTTTTGGCCAACCCACCCTGCTTGAAGTTCATCATTTAGAATTTACTTTTGGATGTCCATTGCTTTCAAATACAAGTTTTTGCTCTGAAAATGTCTTTTTGCCCACATTCTTGAAATACTTTTTCCCCTGGACATAAAATTCTAGATTGACAGTTATTTCCACCTAGTACATTTCAGACACTCAGATGCTTTCCCACTTTTCTGTTTTACATTGTTGCTGTTGAGATGTCAATCAACAGTTGAACTCTTAGTGCAGTTATCTTTTCTCTGGCTCTTTTTGTACCTTTTTTAGCGTTTCCAGCCATTCTCTCTTTAAACATTGCCTCTGTCCCATTTTTTTCTTGCCTTTTAAGATGTGTGTTAGACCTTCCCACTTCATACGTCTACTGACCTCTCATATATATTTTCCATCACTTTGTCTCTCTGTGCTGCATTCCGGATACTTTCTTTCTAATTACGGCTGTTTCTAGAAGTTGGCCAGTCTGCTTGGTCAATTTTATGGTCTCTAGTTTATTACTTTCATTTTATGTATTAATATGAAACTTAGTTGTTTTATATTGATTGATCACCCTAATATTCCTGAGGTCTTCATAGGTCTGATTCTGCCATATTTTGTTTCTGAATGCTCCTTCTCATGATGCTATATTCTCT